ATTGTAGACTACTGATGGATGCGCGCCAAATGTTAATTATGTAATGTATTATGTAAATAATTATGTACTTGTAGCATGATCCGAGCTGATTTAAAGGCTTTTCGGATGATTTCAAGACCAAAAATGATCATATATATATTTAGCCCCCGTTCGAAGGGTATTAAAATCGGATTTTTATTTAAATTTTGATAAAAATTAATGAAATATGTGATTGAAAAATTATGAATTCAAATTAAAATTAATTATTAATTTAAATTTAAATTGAAATCTAAATTTTAATCACATCAAACGTGTGCTTAGTTTTTTTTTTTGACATTATTAAATTGTGTAAAATTATAAGCCAAAGAAAAAGATTGGTGTATCATAATTAAGGTAAACGACGCAGCCTAGTTTTAACCTTTGATTTTAATAATGAAGTTTTGGTTTTTATTTAACATTGGTGTATCATTCTATTGATCTATATATTCGATTACATGGTAATGGTTGATTAGTTTGTGAATTGTAATTAGTCGAGAGGCGAATTAATTGTTTAAATAAAACAAAAAAATCGATAATTTTGTTAGAAAATAGAGATATACTTCTACGGTTAACGTGATCGTTAAATTAATTTCTTGGTAATTTAATCATTTAATTAGGATCAAAATATTCATGTAGAGATACAGTGCATCAACTTGGATAAGTAAAATTGATTTTACTTGAGAGAGGTTTCAATTAATTTTGAGAAATTCAACCAGACACACGTGTAAATTAATTTAATTTCTTTCTTTAGCTTTTGTTTGGCACGGCTTATTTGAAAATTATTTTTTCCTCTAACTCATTTCAACTACACATTCTTTCAATAGAATAGTTTTTCAAATGAATTCATATCTTTTTCTGATTTTTAGCCACACGTTCTCCAAAAATCATTTTTCGCTTCAGATAATCTTGCCAAAAATCAATCGAGGAAATCCTTAGAAGCTCAGATTTTCAATCTTGCAACTCTTTTAATTGTCCTCCCTGACTTCGCCCTTGTGGGACAATAATTTCAACTCTTTTAAGTTCACCTTACTGCTTATTTCATGATAATGTGAACTTACAATTTCATAACATCTGCACTATTATTAATTGGTTTAAGATTTTAATTTTTTTTT